CCAAATCCAAATCGTGGTGGCCGTGCCCCTTCCGCCTATCCCCGTGGTGCCGCATCCCGGCTCCACGAGGGTGTCCATGAATCACTCGGAATTTCACACACTCGGCCCCGCACTGGCACTAGACCATACAAAAAAAACCCGGGAGCCATGGTTTTCTGCGAGAGATCCCGATAATCGCAATCCGCGATTATCCGATAGCCCCGCTGTCGCCCGGTCCGCCGGACACCCGTGTCCTCACGCACGGACTCCCCGTGACACACTCTCTATCCTACCTACCGCTCTTCGCGGTAGGTCAAAAATCAAAACAAATTTCCTCTCCGGCGCCCTCTCCGCGGACCCGTAAACCGTAGCCGTTCAAAGTTCCCGGGGTACCGGCAGTGCGTCCTGGCGGTTGAGCACCCCTTGCATGCGGGCTCTCAACCCAAAAGGGCCCGTGCCTCCGCCGCCAGTCCACTACTTTCCCCCGTTCCCTCCTCCCGAACCACGGACCCACGAACTCTTTGGTGATGGAGGCCGGAGGCACTGCCGTGCTGTCGGCAGCGCGCGGAGGTGCGGGGCTTTTGTAATGTGTCGACTTGACGCCACGTTACAGTATACATTTCTTTATTTCTGTTTGAAGTTCCAATCATCTTACAAAAATATAGCTCTCTCTCTCTCCTCCCGACTACCGCGACGACGGCGCCACCATGATATGTAACTTGACAAAACTATCTGACGTTTTGTGCGCCATATCCACAGTATTGCGTTCGGCCTCCTTTACTCTAGTCTTCATGGCCCTAAACGTGGCGTCCCTTCCGGGTGTTGGCCAGACTCTGACTAGAGGGACTCTATCAGTGTGTTACATCCCGTTGACGAATCGCAATAAAATTCTAATGCAGTTGCCGACTCTTTTTCGGATTTACCTACTACGAAAGATCTGTATTATATCTTACAGGGAGTATAAATTCTTAAGGAATATGCTTTATAACCGAGGCACCGAGGTGCTCCTGGATTTCTCGAAACGATTTACCTTTAGTCTCAAACATGACAAATATGATAAAAAACAAGAATATAATTTCAACAACGGCAAAGGTATAAAAAATCGCATGTTCACCCCATCCATCGGCGACGATTTGATAAATTTTAGTAACGATAGAACCAATAATAGCACTATATATAGAAATTAACATAGTAGCCCAAGCTTTGACATTAGTAGGATAAATTTCGCCAAGTACGGCGTATGGTAGAGGACCATTTCCAAATGAATAGAATATAAAGAATAAAATCATTGTTACCACTGGGAGCCATGATATAACGGAAATGTCCACAGCACAATATTTTAAATGGAAATAAATAGCTATAAATAATAAACAAAGGGAACATCCGAATGTCGAAACAATCATCAATGGTTTCCTGCCAAACCTATCTACAACAAGAGTGGTAAAACTAGATGAGACCAATGTAACCATACCCATAATAATCACTACAATATCCGAATTCAACTGCAGATCACTTTGATTAAAGATAATACTTCCATATGCTTGGATTGCACTGATGCCAGAAAATTGTTGAGCAGAAAAAATTCCCAACACTATAATGGTAGCTTTTCTATTTCCTTTAACAATCGCAAGATCTATCAGTCTGCCCTTGTTACGCTGTTCGATTTCCACTAGGTCGGTCATTTCTTGAAGTTCATCTTTGACGTCCTTATTATCACGTAACCAAAACAATGATTTCTCAGCGGATTTGCCACGTTTCCGCATCAGATAAAAGTAAGGCGTTTCCGGCATCCAGAAGAAGGAGATGAAGAATAGTATTGGAAAAGTCATACAGATGAGAGCTAAGGTCTGAAATACGAAAATCAAATAAAATATGGTGTATTTTATAAAAAAAGTGAATTATTTATATTTCACAAAATATATATATACCTGTCGTGTTACGAATGGACCAATTGAAAAGCATATGAGAGTTCCTACATTATAGCAGATGTTCGAAATAGTACCAAGAGCTCCTCTGACACTGACTTGGGCGATTTCACCTACGTATAGTGGAATTGTCGTATAAGTCATACCAACGGCAATTCCGTTGATGAATCTGCCAATCATCAACCATTTATAGGACTGTGCAAAATATATAAGAATCCAGCAGATTAAACTGGGAAATGCTGTGGCGAGGAGAGTCGATTTTCTTCCAACACGATCAACTATAATTAGACTGACTATCGGTCCGAACACTATACCTATAATCAAAGCAGTAGCTATCCAAGAACTTTGATCAGGTGTTACAGGAAATTCATTTTCGTCATTAACAATTTTTGGAAGCGATGGCGATGTCCAACCAAATCCTGTTCCAGCGACCACAATAGACAAATTGGCTGAAATATTTGAAAAAAAAAAACTTATTAACGTTCGATCTTTGTGTTTTAACGCTAGAATAACTAAACCTGTCAAAATATTGGATTTCTTGTTTCAATTTAAGGATATTATTAAGGTGTTTGATATGGATTTTATGTCGACTTTTGTGAAGATAAAAGAGCGAATAAACTTTAATTCTAACTTCCAAGTTCTGTATATAGGATCCTTAAATGTATAAAATAAAACTACGTTGGTAGTTCTAGTGTTAAATAATATTTCTAATTAGATAATTTATCTCATGGGTGACGTTTACCAAGCACCCCGGCAAGGAGCTGCGTTCCGATCCTGGAGTTGGACACTTTCTTTTCGGTGGACATCTTTGCTTTGTCAACGTTTGTAATCGACTAAATAATAAGTGGCCAAAGTTTTAAATAAATGCTGGAATCATTCGAAAATGAGGATAATTCAAAGTGCTGACGAGATATTCCCCACATAATCTTAGTTTATCAAATATGTTATAATACAAATTATATGACATACATCCAAAGATGCAAAGTCATATTTCTAGATTAATTTTGATTAAATCTGACAATCCTGATTAGCTATTGTACCATTTCACGCAATTATTCTATGAAGGTAAAATACGATATTCCGATAATAAATTTTCACTTACTATTGTAAATATCAAACAAATTTTCAACATCCGAAGTTTTTCTATTTGTTTCAAAAACAATATTTTCTTTAACAATGGTGTACATAGTGTCTGCTAGATATCGAAAAGGTATTCAATTGCATCAGAGTTAATAAACGATTAAGAAGGTGTCAGAATTGTATCTGGATGTCAGAATGTAGTTGAAATAACGAAAAAAGTATTAAATTTGAAACTAATGCTCCATTCTGATATCGCATCGTGTCTGCATTTTGCCGGAACGGTTCATCAGGGAAGAACAAGAACGTTTGAGGCAGCCCTTATATTGCATCAATTATATGATTATCTAATGTAATCTCATGGAAACTTTAACATTCAGATGTGACTTTGCTTGGGTAATGTTATGCTCATTAATGAAGAAAAAAAAAAGTTTTCGTCTCTAGACGCGAACTCTGCATCTTACGATTACGAAGGCGAATCGTTGCCAACGCGCCCAATGCGTGTTTTTCACACACGATAATCCATGGCTGGTGGAAGTGCGCAGCCTCATTTGTTGCGACACGAACTCTCATGAAGATCTAAGAGAAAAATTGACAGCAATGGAAAAAAAATCTCATTTTTATATTTCATTTTTATATGCTCATCATTTTATGCCCAAGATTTATAAGTGCAATTTTGTTTTTGGTAATTTTTCGTAATGCCTTCTTCATCCGTCTGAATATTATTTATGCGTTATTTAAACGTTTTAACGTTCGCTGATTCATGTAACAATTTATTGCATGTATACGATGTAATATAATACAATATTTGTAGACTAATATAATTATGTATTTAATGAATCTTCAGTTAATTAGGTGAACCAATTAGCATAGTTGATAATTAAAAAGAAAAAGAGATAAGACGTGATTTTCGAACCTGAAACTCTCGGACGTTAACCCAGCACGAATCATGTGTGCCAGCGAATCATGGTATATTATCTAATAAACTTATATTTCTGGAGTTATCCACGTTCGAGGGTTTGTTTAAAGTTTTATTTCCTTACTCTATTATTTCCAGAACTTCATATGGATATTAAGGGTATTGACTACCTTATTACTACGGTTTATGTAATATCCTGTAAAGAAGAAGGTGGATACAAGTCTCCCTATTTGAGTGTCACCCGGTTTGATATTGTGAATCTCGAGGAACACATGAATTCATTCGACCAATCAAAAACGTGGAACTGCTTCGAGGGCCCTTCGCTAAGGTGGCGCGCCGAAACCAAAGTAAAATTGAGACCACCAAAAACAGCTCCGCAAAGTTAGCCCCCCCCACTTTGACTTTCGACATTTTTCTTTTTAACAATCGTCTTTCAAAAACGTTTCAAAAGGATGAAGGGCATCTGTTCGCAAGCGTCGGTACATAAACTCCCCTAAATATGAAGAGAACATGCCTTTGCTGCTGCTTTGATTGCAATCCGGCAGTTGCCGTTTTACCAATGCCCACAATCCTTTTATAACGTTTGTGGAAGCACCAGTCTCGGGATCTTTGAAAGTCAATGAATGATTGACGGTCAGATGCTCGTAACCTTCTGCACCTAAGGATTCATAGGCTTTCCAACAATCGCTAACAATTGTGGTGTCAGGTACATTAAATTCCTTAATGAGAGGCACGAGTGTGACCGCCGATCGACATTGACTGTTGTCAAAAAACACCGATTACTGCCGCGTTCTATCCCACCAAATACCCACTGCCCTGTCGCATGTTTACCTTGGTGGTACTCTCGCTTGCTGAACTTCGATTCGTCGATCTCTACAACAATACCCGGACCTCCAATTTGTCCACGTTCTTCTAGTACAATACCGACGCATAATTCGCGACAGAAATGGTACCAGTCGACCGTCGTGTGCGGGGAACATTAAAATTCCCACTGAGCCTGAATCTGGGTGTACTTATGAATACAAAAATATGTCAATTGTAAAATTTCGATCATTGATACTTATGAATCCAAAAATATGTCAATTGTAAAATTTCGATCATTGATAACTTCGATTTGCCAAAAAACGAACAAGTTCTCAATGATCTCGTTGTTTTGCAACTATGACATTGCCAAAGATACTTGTCCGAAAGAAATTCAGCAGTGCATAGAATCATGTCCTTATCGCACACTGAACTCTTGAAAGTCCGACCTATGAGTCCGTATCTTTGTGCAAAGGTGATTCACACACAATCCAATTTAAGCAAAAGAAATAATAGCACACTTGTGTTACACGCTTTGCGAGCTACTAACGAAAATCATGCTTATACATGTTTTACGAAAGCAGACGATACATTGTAGCAAAAAAATCACGAAGCAGTAGATCAAATTTAATGCTCAATGTACAATCACGAGCTTGCACTTATACATACTTATATTTTTAAATAATATTATTTATAAATTAAATATACACATATTTAATATAAAAATATGTAATAATATCTTCATATCAAAATATATGTATACATAATAGGTGCAAACCTGTGTGGCGTAGCACGAAAGTTAAACGAAAAAAACTCCAAACATGGAATATTGCGATTACTAGATCATATTTTGTGAAAATATATTTTTATAACAAGATAATATATATGATAACAGTAAAAATATACTCATTTCAAATTTTTAAAGATAGTTGCGCTTTTTTCCGGTCAGTGGGCGCCACTATTCCATGCAATTCGCATTACATTTGATAGATGGCGCTACGTTAAAAATCTAAGTCACTAGCAGCCAATTTCAGTTCGGAGTCGTATACTGCAGTTTACCTGTGTAAAGACCGTGGTGCCAATCATATACATATGTATGTATAAAGAAAGAAGGAGAAGAAGAAGAAATTTGTGTACGAGTGTCGCTGTTGTATCCTGTTGTTGCTGTGCAATTTTTTATATCGTTGAGTTTGAATATAAACGGAGATGGGTGATTCTGGATTTAGCGATCTTTTAAGATCTGCTGAGCAATTATCTGCTGCAGTAGAAGGAAATGGGGAACTTCCACAAGTGGAGAGAAATTTGCGTCAAATATTGGATGCGTCTAATGAGCTCTGGTCTCGTGTTACACAAACCGGTACACAGGATAACCAAGTGCAAGCGTGAGTACTACCGATTTTCATGTTTTTTAAAATTAAATTTTAGTAAGTTAATATTTAGAATAATGGTGGGCCAATAATTTTATAGTAGTAGCTTAGTTTAATCTAATGAATTTGACTTACGATGAATTTTGTAAACTTCTTATTTCTTTATGGCGGTGTCTCTTTATAGGCATCTTCTTCTAGGATCTAGAGGAGTGGACTTACCTCAAATATCACAGAAATTAAGTTCGCTAAGTGCAAGACGCACCTTTGAACCCTTGGATCCGATTGCTGATACAGATATTGTGAGCTATTTGAGAAATGAAAAGCAAAATGCTATTCTCTCAATCATTGAGCAAGTACACAAAGATGTATGTGGTTATTTGGATTTTCTTATCTTTAATTAAATAACTATATTCAAATTATCAATAACCTAACCTAACCACTTTATTTGATTCCTTAGACTTTTGAGTTGAACAGAGTTCAGCAATTAGAACACATGTTGGGTGAGTGGAAGCAAATGCGTTTTGAGATAATGAATGCAATGACTGCTCCTTCCGGAGAGTTAGTGGACTTACGTGGTATGTCACGTCGTACAAAATTAGCAGGATCCACTATCACTGGCCTTTCAAATATAGAATCTGCCTATGCCAAGGAATTAAAAAATTACAATGATCATGTACTCAGGGGTATAACAAGACCCAGTCTATTTGCTGTATTTGCTAAGGTTTCTGAATCATTTAATGACAAGAAGGTCTCAGACATGTGGCAAATGGTCAAACGTATGGTCGATATCCCAGCAACTCCAAGGGGCGATCAGATTAAATCTCGAAACAGTCCTATTGTAGAACAAAGGATTGTCGAACAAGCTAGAACCTATCTTGAGAATAGATACAGAGAATTTATGAATTCCATTATTAGTGAGAATTTGGCTCAAGCCAAACGTGGTGGTATTCCAGGAACTTTACCATTAGTCAAAAGTTTTGTGGGCGTAAAAGTCCAGCCTAACAGAGACCTGGAAGATATTCATCTGGACGACAAACCTTTATGGCCCCTAATTTACTACTGTATGAGGGCTGGTGACTATAATGCTGCACTACAGTGTCTTCACGAAGTGGGTATAGTCTTTCCGGAATTCAGATTAGCTCTCAAGGAGGCATCTCAAGATCCTCGAAAACGTCCTAGCAGCAGATCAGAATCTGTATTAAAACTACATTATCGAAAGCATGTCAGATCAGCAACAGATCCTTATAAAAGGGCAGCGTATTGTGTACTTGTCCCTTGTGATCCTGACGACTTACATTCTGAAGTCATGTCCACAGCTGATGATTACTTGTGGCTGAGGTTGTGTCAAATTAGAGATCACACGGATTCGGAGCAAAAGTTAACATTGGATCATTTGCAAACGACTATCCTTGAAGTATATGGTAATACAATTTCCAAATAACAAATGATTTGTTTTCGTCATTATGTTTACGTACTGTAATGTAATATAATTGTTTATATTTCTAGGTGAATCCTATTACCGTGCTCACGATCAGCCATTCTTATATTTTTCCATGCTCTTTTTAACTGGCCAATTTGAATCGGCCATTGAATTTTTAGCTAGAGGTGCTGGTGCACGACATCTGTCCCATGCAGTACATTTGGCGATTGCTATGCATGAACATAATCTGTTAGCTGTTAGTCAGAGTGTTTTAGCACCACTGATAAGTGTTGATATAGGTGATAAGCCTCCAGCAAAAAGACTGAACTTCGCCAGGTTGATTTTGTTGTACGTGAAAAAATTCGAATCATCTGATCCGAGGGAAACTCTACATTATCTCTTTTTATTAAGGTAATTTGTTTATTAGAAAAGGCATACGTTTTTTTGTACTTTGATCTAATCATTTTTTTTATCAGATGTATGAAAGATATTCGCGATCGGAATATGTTCGTCTCGTCAGCTGCGGAAATGGTGGTTGAAACATCTCCAGAGAATCGCACGTTACTTGTGGGACGGATAGACAAGGATCGCCGGCTTCCTGGAATCTTGGATCAGTTCCAGATAAATACTGAAGACGTTATAAATATTTGCGCTGAGACTCTGCATCGCAAGGGTCTTCTGGAAGATGCTGTGGCAATGTATGATCTCGCTGAAAACCATGAGAAGGCCCTTAACCTGCTGAATATACTCATGGCTCAAGTTGTCAGTCAAAAAGGACAACCAGGTTCTTTAAGATCACGACTTCAAGCAACTGTTGCTGATATAAGCAACAGGTACGTGTGAAATCAAAAAATTGTTAATTATTATTTTTTACTTCAAGACTAACTACATAATTATTATTTTTTATAAACAAAATTTTAATAGGAAAACTGTATCTTTTTTTAGATATCAAAGCTTAACAGTTCAGGCCCCTGCTGAATCTGTAGCTGCTTTCTATACATTGCGAGACCTGATGGTGTTCTTTGATCAGTTTCACAATGATCAGTATCAAAGTGCTCTACGGGTGATTACTTTGATTTATATTCTGTTAAAAAAAAAATAAGAATTGAGTGAATAGAATTATTTGATTTTAGACAATTGCGGATTCGAAATTACTGCCCATGGCTGTATGGGAGGTGGATGAACGAGTAACGGCTCTCAAGAGAGTTTCACCTGAAGTAGCCGGGGTGTTGGCTGATGTACTTTTGGCTACGATGACAATTCTTTATCGCCAATATCAAAAGCTAAAATCAACGGATCCTGGGGATGAGGTTGCACGAGAACAACAACTTCGAGATCTTCGTGAGCAAGCCAGAGCACTGACTAGCTTTGCTGGTACTCTGCCATATCGTATGCCAAACGAAACGAACAGCAGGCTTGTACAAATGGAGATACTGATGCACTAAAATCCTTTGACTGTCCTGTGTTAATTCATGGTCACTTCAAAAACCTTTGTATAGTGCTCGAGGTTCGATAATTATCGAATTTCACTAGCGTGAAGTGTCTTTTAATACGGCTGATATTCGAGTCTCTTCCTTTGGGATTGATTCGTGTTCCACGAAGGGGCTAAAAACCGGTAATTTTTTTTTTAATACGGTATACCTGTGAAGAATTAGCGATGTATGCCAATGTTAGTTTTTGCAAACCTTTTTTGTACTATTCCAAAAAGTAATACTGGTCTCTACCGAAATAAATGTGGAATTTAATTAATTTTTTATGGGAATTGAATAAATTTATTTTTGTGGTTCATTTTAATAAATGCTGAGACACGCAAAGTACAGATGCATGGAGGAACTCGCTTTTATCGCCGAGTATGTTGGCGAGTTTGAACAATGATGATCGGAAAGACGACCCATTAAAATGTTAATAATAATACATGGGTGAGTGGCATAGTGCTACTTTGTCATATGAGTAGAATCTTATTTCAATTTAGGATAATGATAAAATGTAATATATTTGGACGGATTACTGTTTGTATGCTACATTTGTGTGCCATCTTTAGTATCATTCTACCTGATTTTCATCATTTAAATTAATGGACTTTACAGATGTAATGGAAATCCCACTACTGAGATCTTGCACTCTTCCTTCTTTTAACTGTAAACATGTAACAATAATTATTTTATAATATATAATAGACTATTTCATATTTTCTATTGAAATACTTACTGCTCTGTAATCAAGAAACATTTCCTTAAATGCTAAAAAATCTGTAAATGTAGCTAGAATTTCAAAAACTTCCCCATCCAGTTCCGAGCGCTTTTCACTGAAACATGGAAAATATTATAGTAGAAAGTTACAAGCGCTATTTAAACACTTCTTACTTCAACTGATGTAGCAAGGAATCCATGGAAAAATGTGGAATGGCCTTTTTTAAATTGCTTTCTATGAAGGATTCGATAATCTGGTTCTAGAAATAATTTAAATTTATTGCGTTATAATATACCACTAACTATTACCTCTTGAACTTACATACTCATCGAAAATATCCTTATAAATTAATTTATTTTCTTCAACTGGTTCAAAGAGATACCAATATTTCTCCAAAAAATTTTTTTGTGTCATCTGAAATTCTTCCTCTGAAATAATAAGAAATATTCTTATACCTATACGCTTCAATCACTTAATAAAGTTCTATACCCATTAGCAAATCCTCTATGTATCCAATGACTTCATCGAAGGTGGCATCATCACCTGATCCTCCAGATATTCCTTGCATAAGATTCTCCTCTGCAGACATTGCAACAAAAGCATCTGCTAGATCTACAAAAATGAGTTTGTCTGAAACTAGTGCAATACGGTAATAATTGAGTTGTATAAAATATCAGCTATTATGACAAACCGACGATATGTCGCGACGCATTTTGACTGCGTCTATACATTTTTAATTACGGATTACAAATATTCACAGTTTACAGGATAATGGTTAAAGGGAAAAAAGGTTAGCTAAGAGTGAGTTTGTTGCCAGGATAACAGACGCTGTCAATAAATTTCTTGTTGATATGCATACGTATATGTATGTATGTTTACACGCATAAAGGATATCAATTTATATCCAGGATGAGGTGCCTATAATTGCGCATTGTAAAAGAATGAATTTTAAAGAAGCACCATGTATATGAAGTAAGTACTTTATTGCTGCATTTCTTCTGATTTCTCCTTCTCTTGGGGAACCGGCTTATTCAGACTTATTACCGTTACGCCTGCGTGCGCCATCATCTTTAGCTGTTTGAAAATGTATTTTTTGACGGCTACAAAGTAATTGTGTTTTCTTCGATAGATTTCTATCTAATAAGTACTTATTTATTACGATATTTACGTACGCTTGTATGAATCTTTAGCTTGTCTTTCAGAAAACAGTGGACATATAAAGGAGACGTGTAAGTTTTTCAGAATATAATAAAATTTTAATATTATACAGTAAGAGTCACGACATTCTTCAATGTACTTGATATTTATCTCGTTGGAGTCATTATTAATATGAGTATTTTTGTTCAAGCTAGAAAGCTACTATAAGTACCGATGGAGATATACACGTTTGATAAAAGTCTTCAAGAACGACTTGTTGAATACACTGCGATTCTATCAAGTCGTGGTGAGATTGTACCAGCTTCTCAGATAAAGGCAGAGTGGTCATATCATGTTGAGCTTGTTATCGAGCCTGTAGGATGGCGAGCACTTTGGAAGATACCAAAGCTTACCTGTCAGGAGTTTGAGATACGTTATCCTACTGTGGTGATTGTGGATGTTGAGCAGGTGGACTTCTCAGAGTTGTCTGCTTTGGTGAAAATCATTGCTGTACAGGATGAGATTCATCTACCTGAGAAATATGATGTTTCTCTGACAGAGTTGTATCCTACGCATAATCAGGAGATTACTTCTTTGGATATGGTAGGCACTGCATCCTGTGTAGACCAGCTGCGTTTTTTTTTTAATTACTTGTGGATGCCATGGGATGCTGATGATGATGATAATATGGACTGGGTAGCTCTTCATTTGGAATCCAGGATTAGATTATTCTTTGATATGAAGAGAGGATCTATCTGTGACGAGACTTGTGATGTCATTAGAACATTAATGCGTGAAGGCAGAGAGATTCAGGCAAAAATTACAACATTAGAAGCAGATATTTCTGATGAGGATGATGAAAATGAAAGAGTTCTGGATGAAGGAAAAACTTGTCAGCTAATGAAACTCCATTTTCGACTGCAGCAAATAAGAACTGAAATGGAGGTACTTGAAAATCCTGCTATGAGAGATATGTTAGCAAGGAATCGAGAACCAGATGCCACTAATACAGAGCTGAAGAGACGGGAGAGTCGAGGGAAACGACCTGAAGGATATTTTGTATGGCTAGGTGGCTCTATAGAAGAAACGCTGGAATCCTTGACAAAGGTCAGGACGTTTTTGTCACCTGATACATTCCTAAAGTAAGTGTACAAAGAATTTGAGTTATGTCAAATATTATATACTTAAAAAGTAATATCTTTTAACAGGACAATAAATTGTCTTCAAGATGCTCTCTATACTTCAGACACAAATGATATTGTGTTGATCGGTGATGGAGAACATTTAATCCGGGGAGCTGGAGGTTTAGAAGAGGGTGGTACGATGAAAGGACTATGTTCTACCCAACATACGATACTGATACCAAGGGAAACGGAATGCGGACCTTCACTACTAGATTTTTCAGGTGGAGAGGTATGATATGCCTTAAATTTTCTTGTGACTTCTCAAAAATAATTCACCTTTATTCGATACCTGCAGGTTATTCTAGAAAATATATCCGTCGACCTAGGTGAACTTCGAGCAGGTATTTTGGTTAGAAAAGGCATTGTAAGAATCTCAGACTGTCGAATTTTCTCCTCAAATAGCAGCGTAATCAAACTTGGGATCGTCGTGTTATCTAATGCAAAGTTAATAGCGGAGAAAACCACATTCATAGGCCTTGGAAGTGCAATTGTTGTTCATGCGAATGGATACGCATCGCTGAGCGAGTGTAATTTTCAAAATTGCACAGATGGTATTCAGGTAGAGGCATCGTTACCTTCAGGATATCAAAAGTTATTTTTACCAGCATTATTATTAATAAGAAATATTATTTTCTAGCTCCATGATGACTCTTCAGTATCAATAACAGACTGTGCCTTATCGAACTTCAAGGAATATGGAATTCGCATGGAGACAAAAAAATATATCAATGGTTTAGAACACAGTACAGGTGGTCTTAACATTCTGGATAATATTTCTGAAGTATCACTAAATAATTGCAAATTCGAAAATAATGGAAAAGGAGATGTAGCACTAAGGCCAAGTGCAAATATAGCTTTAGCAATTAAGCAAGAATTAACTTCAAGTCTTGCATCTTGAGAGATGTGTATCTCAACATTTCGCATATTAATTTGAATTCTCAAGTAAATAAGACTGTTGTATTTGCATTCATCTCGTTGAGAGATAAACTTAGTATTACAAACATTGAAACTTAAGACTAATGTTAAATTTACATCAATTTGCCATTCCTTCCCAGAATAGCAATGCGTTATTATTCTGTAGCGAACTTGAACGAGCTTCTATAAAAATGTCTCATTGTGTAGTGCTGAGTGTAACCATCAGATGGCACTACAAGGTGAATTTCTAACTAGTATACCACAAGTCGCATTTTCTTCAGTGAGAGTGTAAAAAGGTTTATGTGGACGAATGAAGCAGATAAAGTTATTAAGAATAGTGAAAAACATCTATAGATCAATCCTCGAATTACGAGTAATAAATTTATTATAAATACTACTCCAATTTACTCATAGTCCAGAGACTCAGTGTATATCTCAAAAATATCAAGTAACTCGTGCATTTCTCATAACCTAGACGGTTGTAACTATCGCTTTCTTATGAATGAAATTCCTTAAAAGTTCGTCAATTATTTTATAAACTGGACTGTACCCTTCGACATATACAATTTCAAGAATTCCATTCCGTATAATACATTAAACATTCAAAGAAAAACCTAAATGGCATCCCTGTAAGTTTACTCTTTGTCCAAAAATTGGTCACGTTTTCATTTCTGCAAAAAAAATCTGACTTATAAAATATCTACCATGTATATATATGCCCCATATTTGTTTAAATGATTTTAAACGAAATGCACGGAAATTCCAACAAAGTTTCATGCATAGATCAAATGCCACGTAAATTGACATACGATTCGATTAAATTGTATTGCTCTAAACGGCATACGGACCGAACCGATAAAATAGGCGCCGAGACGCCAAGATCAATATAACAGCGGATTTAGATAGGTTTATCGGTAATAAAGTACTGTCGGTGCAATAACGTAAAGAATGAAAGGAAAGAGTCAGGCAGATTGAAAAAAAAAATATAAAAAGTGGAAGAGATAGATATAAAATAAAAAGTCAAATATACAGTTTTACGGTGACCGTGTAGGCAGTATTGGGTCTGAACTTTACAGAAAGCTGGCTGCATCGGGCGGTTGTAAAACCTTTGTTTCTGGTATCGCTGTAGGTACCAAAGAAGTCTCAGGAATTATTAAAGGGTGCCGAAATAAAACGACACTTCTTACATAAAGCGTCAAGGATGGTGGAGACAACTACGCCAACCCAAACAGCAGATGGGCAAACTCAATTTGGCAATGCGCGTACTTTGGAGCTGTCCGACAGCATCTTTGTCTTTAAAGATACCGAGTCTGATTATGAAGAACCACCATCTGGAGACGAGGTAAGAAAACCAGTTGTATATTTGACACTGTCTAAATATGAATGTAATTATGGATATAGAATGGTGGACTTTTAAGCTCACTAAAACTCAATAAATCTACATGCCTTGGCGTGCAGGAGAAATAGACACAATGCAGTACATAGGTACGTCTGAAAATATCCGCTGTCCAGACTGAGTGATGATCAATCACTCTCCATCTCCAAGTAAATGTAGAAGTAGAAATGGTGGAAGACGTAGAAGTGTAGGAGGCAGCCAGAGGAGTAGAAGGCGATTGTGGCGCTTGCGGCCTTTGCAACCGTTCGAGTCTCTAAATAACCCGCGGAGCATCAAAAGCATCGAGAATGACGAGGGTAGTCCCTTTCAAGCGGCATCGAGAGCAGATCGCTCCGTAATGTCTTCGACGATTTGCAACAGGAAAGGAGACAAGAAAAATGGACCTGACTTTATAGATAAATAAACATACAACGTAATCGCGTACCCTTACAAAAGTAGTTCGTAATTTATCCGGTAGATGGTACCTGAAATAAATTTCTCCTTTTCTTTTCTCTCATTCTAAAAGTTACGAGAACGTTCACGCACTTAATGCTCTAAAATTATTTGGATCTTGTTTTAGCTAGTGTATAGTAGATGCATTTCTCCTTTAAATATAAATACCGGGTGCATCCTGGGATTGGTGTTGCGGACAGTTCTCGTGGCCACCTTCGTGTCGTGTTCAGGAAATGGGAAGATTTTTCCGGGCAGGCCCTTTCGCAGTACGGTGCCAAATCAAATGTCTATATCCGTATCTCACCGCAGAAACTACCGGTACTATTTCTCTGTGACACGTGTTACCCACCTACCTCAGTTTCCTGCTTCCTATTCTAGAACAGCATTATACATACTCTATAGCTAGACACAGGGTAGGGTAGTCGGTTACCTATGTAGTGTCACCTCAGGGCGACGATCATCAGGAATTCAGAGAATGGACATTAGAAAGGAACTTTGACCCGTGGGCGACGCTTTGGCCTCTGTGACGTGTCCTGTCGACGTTAGTCGCCAATCAGTTAGTGAACTTGTGTTTCTGGCGGGCTCCAAGACATTATACCCAGTGCCGTATAATACAGTCGTGATTATGCGGTTACCACTATGAGATTTTCGTAAAAGTCACGGAGGTCAAGTACGTTAGCAGAGAGCGAATCGGCAGAACATCTCCGTTACCGATGAATATTTAACGGCCACTGGACGATTTCGTGAACGACCGTGCGTCTCCTTCTCTTTCGGCTTGCATAATATACGCAAGATGAAATTCATGTGATTTTTTTTTTTTTTTTTTTAAAGAAACCCATCGAAAAATTCTCAATCAACAGTAGGAAGGCCAACCTGGAGAACTGAGATTCATTAAGCGTTATACGTTATACCGCATGCAAAGTCGACTTTTATCATTTGAACAGCAGGAATTTCCACCTTAACCTAAAATCCAAATGTCTCGATGGATATTGTTTTTGGAAAACGTAGATTCCTTGGCGATGTTTCAAGGAACTCCTTACCGAAGATCTGTTCAAGTTTAAAGTGGTCAGAGCTCATTTATTATAATATGGACGCGTGGAGCGCAGCACAAGCCCGAAGAGCACGGTCGGCTCACGTGGTACAGCCAGCGATGTTTTTTCTCGTTATTCCTGTCTTCGTCGTATTTCTCTTCCTCAGCATTCACCTTCGCTTCACCATCCAGAGCCTCCTGTCCTGGTATCAACGTGTTCCTTGGTTCAGGCATTATCCGCTCGACTCGAGCCAGGACCACGATGAGCAGGCACAATGCCGTCGGCGACGCTCGAAATAAACCACAGCTGGAAGGTTCGAGCGCTGAACGAGAGCAGCAAGTGTGAACATCGTCTAGACCTAGAGTCGAATATCCACGGATGGACGAAAGGAGACTTTAAATTTTTCGATCTATTATAAGCGTTCAAGCTGGTCAATGAGGTGAAAGCGTCCCGGTGCTGGTGTCTCTTGAGAAGAATTCAGAAGAGAAGCGTAGCACGGGAAACCCTCTTGAGAAAGACGGGTGGGTGGAAATCTAGCCGTTTCATCGATGACAATGTCGCCGTCGTCGTGGACGGTTTTTGCGAAATTCTTGACGCAGATACTTCACGTGACGTCAATCGACATAACGAAAGAAATGCGTTCCGTTGTTGCCGTTACATAAAGGTCTCCCTGTAGAACGCGAGTTCTCGCTCTACGAAGCTTTTCCTCACCTAGCTGGACCATTCAAGTGCTATCGACGTCGTCCCCATTTTAACTGGCGCATGTACTCGTACCTGTCAGATCGTTAAACAGTCATAAGATATTAAGTTAGGTTAGGTTCTTTCCTATTTGCACGTAACCGAGGGCGCTGCTGTGTATACCAATACCAGTGAAAGACCCGAAGCATCATCCACGTGGAGGAGGTGGAGTTACATGACGGCGCGAGGCACCGCGTGGGGGAGCAGCACTCTCCACGGCGCATTGTCGGGGTGGCACCCGGCGTGCTCGTCGCCGTGTTTATAATTATCTCTAAGTTGGGCTGGTAGCCACGTCGAGGAGAGAGGCCAACACGTTGAAAGCGTTCCTGGTTGTTTGCGGTACTATTTCTGTACGATGCTAGATGCTGTACGATGACTGCTTGGGACATCTCCGGTCCCCGTTATGCCCCTACCTTAGGTACTTATCTATCCGTCTAACACCAAACTACATATTCACCTAGCTAGTCTGGTAACCTAACCCAATACCGATGCACCTTGCAGGAAGATTCTGCATGCTTCACTGTAATCTGCTCCTGCCAGTCATACTGGATTGGATAGGATTCTCGGTCAGTGCAACGTCTCGCTTTGCCACTTTGCCAAAAACGAGACGTCGACGTTTCACTGGGTGTCAGCTTCGTCGACGCGGATATTCCACGTTTCCTGGTTGTTCGTCAAAGCCGCGATTACTCGTATTTTGGCTCGGACCTTACGTTCGCATTCCTAATTATCTTTGTTCTCCACTGTGGGTACGACTCGGAAAAGATTTTACGTCGTGTCGAGAACTCTGAAAATTAGTGTACACTCTTTATTACGTACAGGAGGATTGTTAAAGATTTTAAGACCGACTTAAGAATACTTATTGTGCTTTATTGTAAAATGATTTATAAAAAAATTCAATACATTTTTAGAGCTCCCCATCAGGACTACGACTGCCTGTAACTTGTCCTAATGGATACGATTAGCAATGCTATGTTCGGCACCTGTTGAGTCGTTAGAGCGTCTCATTAATTATAAAGTCACCCTGGTTGTTCTGGCTGTTGGCAATGCTGAAGCTTGAAATTTCGCTGCTGCAGAGAACCAGAGAGAGAGAGAGAGAGAGAGACCAAGAGGGAAATGGAGCGAGAAGACGCTCGCGCATACACGTAGAGCGGGTAATGCGTCGTCTGCGACGATCGTTAGAGAATTTAACGTCGTGAATTTGCGGGATTCTTGTAGAAGGACTTAAGGAGACGCGCCGATGAAAACGACCGCTTATCCAGTCAAGATCTAGCCATCTTCGACAGCGTTAAGCTTTGAAGCTTCGGAGGGTTGACGAAGCCGGTAAGAAACCTCTGTGAAGTTGGCCCCTCATTATGAAAATTAATAAAAAAAGTTAGAGTTCTGCTTGCCCCCGGAAGAGTTCTAGAGTTCCTGATAGTTTTTAGAAATAGTTCTGTCGATCAAATGCAAAAAATTGCGATATTTGGAAATGGGGGGCCAACTTCACGGCGCCCCCCATTTTTGAAAAAATGTAATTTTTTTGACAGTTCTGAATAGATTAACAATAGTTCTACAGTTCTCTGCACTTTTTATCAATAGTTCCGGTCATTATCCGCTTCAAAATAAAGTTTGAAAAAATACGTTAGCCCCCCATCTTTTAAAAAATCGTTTTTTTTTTAGTGTTCCGAATAGTTCTCAAAGAGTTCTACAGTTCCCTATAGGTTTTGGGTACAATACATATCCAAATTTTGTCAAAAAATCATGTTGAAAAGAGTATTTCAAAAAATCAATTAATCGTATAAAATCCGATACCCCCAGAATACTCGATGGATTAATCAAGTCCAGGTATTCGTTTTGTAGAACTCTTTGAGAACTATCCGGAACTCCCATCAGAACTCCCGGAACTCTTCATTTTTTTTTTTCGAATCTACCCTACTTGCGATGGAGAATCTTCAAAGTCCCAGAACTCTTTCAATTTTAATTTCTCAGCTTTTTCTCGGCTGACGTATTTTTTCAAACTTTATTTTGAAGCGGATAATGACCGGAACTATTGATGAAAAGTGCAGAGAACTGTAGAACTATTGTTAATCTATTCAGAACTATAAAAAAAATTACATTTTTTCAAAAATGGGGGGCGCCGTGAAGTTGGCCCCCCATTTTCAAATATCGCAATTTTTTGCATTTGATCGACAGAACTATTTCTAAAAACTATCAGGAACTCTAGAACTCTTCCGGGGGCAAGCAGAACTCTAACTTTTTTAAATTAATTTTCATAATGAGGGGCCAACTTCACAGAGGTCGGGAAGGAGGAGTAGGTGGCGTCTGCCTGGAAGTCTGTATACGCGTAAATGGGTAAAAATATATGATATTAAAAGGTAAAATGAAGGGGAGCTCCCTAAAACATGGCGGAAGAAGAGGTCCTTCCCTTGAATTTCTATGAAACGAGTGTTATCGATTCTGTCGCTGCGACGATCGTAAAGATAATACGATCTTCCTGGCGACTAGCTCGGAGCCAGAAGTTCTGTCCTGTTAACGACTTTATAAAATATTACCCTTCTTAGGAGGAGCGTTTCGCATTAGCGTACTCATACATTCCCTTCGGCACAAGATGAAGGAGTTGATCTTCTGTGCCGGATCCTCGGAAAGAGTCTCGATTTCCGGTCCCAAATAAGAAATCCTGAGCTTCCAGTTAATACTTTATTTCGTCAGGATTCGCCTTTCTTCTCCTTGTCGTTCTTAGGAAAGTTTTATCGTCACACAGATTAGACCGAGTCGTTATATGTATACTCGCAGTATACGTATTTCAATAACTTGGCTTACCCAGTCGTACTCGTCCAGATCTTTACGATTTTCTAATTCTTAGAGACCGGCTATCCGGCATATACATATCGGTACACGCTAGACGGTATAACGTACGGGCGAGTTTACACTAGATAGATACGTTGGCAGGTCCTGCCGGCTGACTATCTCCAACTGGGTTAATAATAATTGCATCAGACACTCAGATTCAAACTGATGCATATACCTATATGTCTGTACAGCACGTGGTATGTACATATATATGTATAGATGCAGAATGAAGATCCTTCTTCAGAATATCCTCATGGCTTGCCGTAGCACTTCAATCCTTTTAGCACTTTTCTCATCCGTACCAAAAGATCAGTAAGATTATGGCTGAGCTTCATCGTGATTGACTCCGATTGACCTATTTCAAAATTTTGGCTTTGATTTCGACAACTTCATCAATCTCCAAGACACCCATTCCTGTTATCTGTAAGGTTCGCCTTACCCGGTCAGCCTTGCAATGGTGAAAGTACGTTATCCGACTGGTACCACAGTGAACAGGTTGCAGAGTCTGACGTTAAAGGCTGTGAAGGGTATCGTATGTGATTAAAAAAAACTTTTTTTTTATTCTGCCTTGTTACGATCATCTTTTTTCCTTTTAGAATAAACAACCAAGGACACTGGGCGGAATATTTTGTGCGTTTATAGAAAAAAAGAGGACGAACCCTTTCTAAAATTTCGTTGACTTCAGGGACACCGACTGTACGCTTCCTTTTTTCTCTCTTCCTCTCGCATACTCTCTCTTCGAGCAGCTGCGCTGATTCGCGCTCGGGCGCGCTTCTCCTTTATGTAATTTCACTGATCGTTACGCAACGTCCCCTCGAGGCACGTAGATCCCCGATCTTCGATCCACGGATCGGCTTCACGGATTCAGCAAATTGTACGAAGCGACGTCCTTGAACGAGAAAGAATCGACGGGTAGAGTGTCGAGTGATATGCCCTGGTGGCGCCGGGAAGAATAAGGATACCTCGTGACCGACGTTACTTGTATACGATGGAAACGGAGTATCTTGGTCCAGAGACAAGGCTGTTGCTGCTGCTGGTACCGATATAACAGCTATAGCGTTGGTATCATTGGTAGCAGGGTTTCTATTCCAATTCTCTTCTATTTCTTTTTCTTCCTTTCTTTCACGAAATCTGGTTAAAAAGAACTGGATCGCGGCCAACAAGTAGAGCTCGTAGATAGCCGTTGTCGCAGGATCTGGGACATGGAATGGGATGGGAGTCCAGGGGGGCAGAAGGGGTTGGATAGAGGGTGGTGTACGTTGTGGTGGGTAATCGGGGTGACGGAATGGCAACAGCCACAGACGGTTTCGAACGGTTTGTCACTAGTTCGGGAGGACGGGTACTGGCTGCGGGGCAACAGGTACCGCCATAAGCTTTGTGCGGCGTTCCCGGGCCGCCACGTGCTCCATCTAAATATAATTCCCTAGTGTCTTCTTTTCGTGGCTTTTGGCTTCGCCAGAGAATCTACGTTTCCTCACTATACCTAGTCACGCATGCCAACGTGTCTATAGGGAGTCCAGGATTGAACGCACTTGGATGGCAGACTTGAATTCTCGATCGAAAGTAAAAACAATCGATTTTCAAGGTTTTTATATTTATTTATTTAAATTACCAAACGATTTTACATTTTTATTTGCTAGCATCAGCCTACCAGCTTTGAGATGGACGGTTTCAGAGTATGTCGCAGCCCATTTACGATCGTTTCTTCCTCTAGCCACTGTCTCCTTTATTCGCATTTACATTCTTTATAACGTTATTAACAACCACAGATCCCACGTGTCTGCCTCGTTTCAGAATGTATTTTAGTAATTGTTCTAGTCTTTAATCTACGGCGAAAAAGAGCTAAACTTTGGGGATGTTTATTTTCAAAAATATACACTGACAGCTTAATAATCGAAAACCTTAATGTCACTTGTCTCAAAATTGAGACTGAAAAAATTGAAATCGCTCGTACACGTGTTTTCTTATTTCACACGAGGAATCCTGCTCCACGTGCCTTCGGACGCTAATATCCTGCATACGTGTGCGAACGTACCGTATTGGAGAGTACCAATAAATTAGATCGATCTCAGTCCATTCTCTGATCTTCGTCATTTATGTTTACATCCACACGTACGATTCGTATATCTATATATAAACATTCCATTGATAAAAGATCATCGTGTTCCCACTCCTTCACAGTGCATTGGTCAAGATCTTCTATGTTCGCCCTCAGTGCATTTTCGTCCACAGTCTCCTTTACCTTCTTTACCTCATTTTATAGCCGTCGCCAAAGCCACCCGTAACTCCGCCACTTATTCAAGTCACTTTGCTTCTTTATTCTATGAATAAGGCTGCAACGTCTCGACGGCTGCGGCTGTGGCTGCGACGCCGACGCCGACGTCGCGGAGCGCGGTGCGGAATAGCGGAGGCCGACTATGCGAATAACTCGAGGTTGGCACACCGCTGCCTAGCGGCTTTGCTGCTACGGCCAATTTCTGTGCCGCCGCATTTGTCTTAGTTGCCAATTGCAAAGGGGTTCACATGCCAGAGCCCCGAGACGTTCGGGAGATGCGATATCGCACATCCCTAATATATACGTATGCTCCAAGGATCTTTCGGTGTGCTGTGTCGTTCGTTCGTACCATAGAGACGTTCTCATCTGGGACGTGGAAGCAGACGGGGAGAGGGAATTACGTCGAAGGCGACTACGGCAGACGTCACGCTTACCAGAATGAAATTTCGTCGTTTTTTCTCTCCTCTTTCTATATTATGTGTATGTTTACAAAGAACAAATTATGCATAAACCATTTATGTGCGCGCATAATATCAACCTTTGACCAGTATCGGACGTAGTCTTACATAAATCTTTGGAGTCCTTTGGATACACTCGCGTCTTCATCTTACGGAAATACACATCACGTTTGTACATTTGAATATTTACTTATATACAGGTTGTATATATATATATATATATATATATATATTAAATATACATAGTCTCATAATCTCAGACCCGGGGTTACCTCTTGTTTCTCGTATCTTACTGGCGTTAAAAGTTTTTGTGTAAAAATAACACTGCATCCAGATGCGACCGCGTTCTCTGTGCCCGACCTACCTCACATCCACGGGCCTCGGGAGTCGCGTCGAGCCGACTCTGGTAAAATTCAATGCTCTGCATTGCAGTAAAAGATACCGAATTGCCTTAGCATGACTGCCTGCTGCCTATACCGCCATTACGGTAACTCCAGGCCCTTGCGGAGTTCTGGTCGTACATCAATGTCGAGCTTTCTGTCGTGTGTCTCGCGCACCGGTTGCCACCGGCTTTACATTTATTTTACTCCTTTTTCGGTAGCTAGGATCTTTTGTTTTAGTTATCTATGGATTGTCATTGTTCAAAGAGCGCATTTGTGTTGCGAGATACGTGCCAGAGGTAAGGATCATTGAGAAATTCTCAAACGCCGATGTATTATTTTAGGTTATGGTAACTCTTGGTAGAATGATGAGCGAGCGAGAGTGGCATGACGTCGTAATTTCAGGAGTAATCGTGATTCTCAGTGACAACAGACAGCTTTATCGCGTACACGTCGCTACCGTTCTGATCACAAAAGCTATTATGCGCCGGAGCCTTTTGCAAATGGTAAATTATCTGTGGCGAGGACCGTCGCTGTTGTAATGCTATGCGCCAAATGACAAAGCGTCGACAGCTGCGCTCGAGCATAGACGACGCGCAATGTCGCGCGACTTCGTCCCTGCCTTTAAGGCTGACTCTAATCATCGTCGAACCATAAAAAGCACTGTATTTATATATACGCGTGTTATCCCATGCTCACTCCTACACTGCCCTCTCACAGTCTCGCTTATAGTTTATAACGACTCTCGTGCGTTTCGAAACTATAGTCGTTATCAGGTGCACGTTTACCGTGGTCGTTAACCAGAATTTAAAAATTATCACGAAATCACCTGAAGGTAACAGCGGGTCTAGCATTGTGAAATCGAGCTTTTGCTCACTTCAGTCTTTTGGGTATTCCTGTTAACTGCATACGCGTGCCTGCGTACCTACAGTCTACCAAACAAATTCTATAAACGTAAGAAGTTTAGTGACCAGCTTTTCCTGTTCCTATGGGTCATTCGACGTAACTTCAATTCCGAATGAAAGGATACGTGAGAAATCGAGGAACGCGATAAACGACGACCTGTGGATCGGCTACGCGTATATCGCCAGAGCCAAGCCAAGCAGCGTCGCATAATTTCTTCGTATATGTATACGTATGTATATATATATGTCCACGGGATACTTTGGGGACCCGAATCATTAAGGGGTCAAACCTGCAAGCTAATGTTTTTTTTAAAAAAAAAAACTAGAACCTTGAGGTGTGGCAGCATTGGAATTTTAAGCTAACCTAACCTAACAATATAAAAAATTGTATTAACAATACAAAAAATATAAACAAATTCGGTGTGAGTCACCTTTATGGGCCTCAAAACAGTCATTACGCTGGAAAAACTTTGAGGTCGGACCCCAAAACAGCCATAAGACCTCGAATAAGCGTGTTCGTAAAAGAAATCGACTCCAAAGTATGCGATAGCCAAATTTATACACACATATATTACGCTGGAAAAACTTTGAGGAATATAAAAAATTGTATTAACAATACAAAAAATATAAACAAATTCGGTGTGAGTCACCTTTATGGGCCTCAAAACAGTCATTACGCTGGAAAAACTTTGAGGTCGGACCCCAAAACAGCCATAAGACCTCGAATAAGCGTGTTCGTAAAAGAAATCGACTCCAAAGTATGCGATAGCCAAATTTATACACACATATATATATATATATTGTCAGGAGAAAGAGAGAAAGAAAGAGAGAGGTGGTAAATATGTCCAAGAGGCAAACCGTTCGACGTATATAACCGTGCGTATACACGTACTTCCTCTTGGCGGAAAAGAGATCTCGAGGGGATGGAAAGAGAAGAGAGAGAGGAAGAAGACAGTCTCATCGACCTCCGACGTGCCAAACAGTTTGAGTTCAATGCTACGAGACTTTTCTTTAAATTTTTATTTTTGTTATTTTTTGGCTAATTTCAAGGGATTGCCATTCGGAGCTTTGACCGTATAAGGAAGGTAGTTCCTAACGAGAACGATGAGAAAGAACAATTGTGAAAGAGAAGAGGAGAACCAAGTTAAAGAATCGGTACTCTATTGGCTCCAGAAGAATGGAGACGTACGTAGTTGGGTTCCTCGTTAAATTACACTCTATCTCTCTCTCTCTTGACTTTGCAAGGCAACACGTGCCCAGCATAGACTTTCCTCAGGTTCTACCATAGCTCCTAAGGTACGGATAAGGGTCGCTGTTGCTATAAGTATACAGGACCGCTTCGATAGAAATGACGGTTGCGTTGACCAAAGTACGTATAGGTCTTGGGTATCGGTTAGCAGCAGCAAAAGTATAGCTGAGCTTTCCATCCTGACTTGGTAATGTAATATGTTCCCGTGAGAGAGCATGCGACAGAGCTGGCAAAGAGATACGACGAAGGAGGACAGGTTTCTGGTTATCGTATAAAATACAAGGGGGTGGTATAACGTACCCTGGCGCAGCGTTGCGCGAAGGTGGCTGCTAGGTATAGAGCAGTATGGCAATGGCAAGGGATGGTAGAGAAAGCCTTTAGGAAGGTGGTGGGACAGAGGCGGGGAGACGCTCGACGCCATGTGCTCGTTGCTAGACGCTCGATCGTCGCTCAGTCGTCGCGGCGCGCTCAAAGCGGGCACGTCGGACACCACCTGTCAAGGTTTATTTAAAATCTTTACCTGGCGGCATCGCGACATTGGAACCATCCTTCAATTCTTTACTGTCTCCTTTTTTTTAAATCTTAAAGCTCGTTATCACTGATATCACTCGGCACGTAGTCGGGCACACGCGTACACACAGATCTACTACGAGGATGGGATGATCAGTTACTCAGGAAGTGCTATACGTGTCAGAGAAATATAAATTTTTGAGACGTAATAGACCTCCTACACAATCAGAAGACACGGGCTGCATCGTTGTCCGAAGATCTGGAGGAAAATAAGGAAGGATACAAATAGTTGAATCTCATTGCAAGAAAAGAAAAACAGAGTACAAGAAAGTCATACCGGTGTTACCAGAAGAATTGTATAGCAGAGGAAATGCCAAGGTGATCTCGTACGTCGGGGATACTGGGACTGTCAACGGCACGCGACTTCTTCTTCTTTCTCGTTAATCTCAATCGCTCCATTCTCCTTTATTTCTCCTCGGTACTGGTCGTTCTACGCCGAGAGCAAATTTTACTTTACTTCAATTACCAAATCGACAGTAAGTGCATTGCCGCGAGAGAGAGAGCAGTCCTGTTTACGTCCTCGCGTGCAATCTCATCGACAACGGCCTTGTCTGGTACGTGAAATCCGTCTTGCGGATTCGCCTTTATATCCATTCACTCATCATCGCTTGGGAGACGCGAGTGCGAGGTGTGCCTTGACGAACGCCCGTCTGATCAAGACAGTTGTGGATACTGTCGAAACTGTAGTAACTCTCGTTATCAGCCAACGAGATAAATTCCTAGTGGGGACAGAGGTCAGACCGGATACTACTTTGGCCAAAGGTCCCTCACGTATAAATCATCGTCATTTCCATAAGAGTAAGACACTCGATTAATTACGGCCTGAAGACGTACGAATTTTCACGATTACCGTTGGACCTGCTGCCGCTGTTGCTACTATGCATCACACAGCACCCTGGTATTTGCCGTGGGGCTTGAAATTGGTACCTCTACCAATTCCACCTGGACATCCGGCATCGGGCATTCCTAACCCAGGACTCCATCTTCTTGCGCCGTTACCGGGAATTTACACACCGGAGCCTAGAAAGGTAGGAGATAATTAGCGATATTTATACGTGTGACATTCTTCAGGGTGTTACGTATCCATTAGTAGTATATTCACGCGTATTACTATTCGTTATGTGTTTACTGCTTTTCTTTGAGAGTTTCAAATTTACGCAATCATCGCTCAGCCAGATCTATTCGACGTATTTATAATAGCTAGTACGACGTCGATTGACACCAAGCTGTCAAGTCTACGTTTACTCATTACACAAAAGATTTGCGCTTCCACAGTATACCCTTGAGAATCCATTCTCTGCGTTACTTATGAAACACGACGTTGCAACTCGATTAAAATGAGTATTCATATGTAATTATGAAATTCGTAGTGAATTTTTATCCTGTCATCGTCCTGGAACTGTAATAAATTATTCTTGGTTATTCCCGTGAAGCACCCATAAAGCACGGTCCTGGGAAAGTTATGCCAGTAAGCATATAGACAACGTGTATCTATACCTTGTAATGTCCTGAAGGGAACTCGTGACGCTTCCTGATAAAACAATTCGTCGAACCTTCTTCCGTTAACGGTCGACAATTTTTCCACGTTCCCGCCACCGTCTCAGGGTGGCCAATATAAAGGCCAAGGCCTTCGGGAGGGAAAGGCAGACTATCGTGCCGCTGCAATATCAATGGCTCGTCGAAAAATTATCAGACGTACGTATTTATCGTAAATTATGAAACTCTCATTACCAAGCCGAGTCCAAGTTCTCGTGGAATCCATCAGCCATCTCGTGCTATAGGTGCCCCTAACCTATAAATTTACCTACGAGTGTATCCACCTTATCTCTAAGTACCTGAACCTGGTAGACGCGTGATCGTGCTAGATCGATATTCCTTCGCGAGCTTCCTTGGCTTCAGCAAGGACAACATTCGCTTTCAGTAAAGGAAAAGCCCGAGAGAAAAGCTCGCCGGAGGCAGTCAAAAACGTAAGACCTTCGTCATTTCCGTCGTCCTTCAAACGATTTGTCGACCTATACTCGACCCGGGTAACGGCGTTAATGCTACAAATCAGATTGTAGAAACGAAGTATTAACACGTGTTCCAAATCAGTCATGTATGTTATATCAGAACACAGTACTCCAAAGTCTTTTAGCATCAGGACAGACGTTCGATAAAATATAGCCAAGTCTTGAAAATCTCTTGTATTTATAATATAAATATTCTCATATAAATTTGATCCAGGCATTATCACTTAACTTCTTAACCCAACGCTCCACTAAACGAACGTTTAACTTTCCTGTAGTCGTCTTACCGTGTTATTTTATTTGTCACGCGATAGCGAAACCGTAACGGTTTATTGGAAAAGTGAGTCCACGTAGCCGGAGCACAGAATTGAGAGATGACGCTGATTGATCGAAGAAAAGCGAAGAGGGAATAGAAGAATTTCTACGTGACCGTTAAAAATAACTAGGAAATCTAGTAACATTTAGAAAGGTAGACAATTACATGAGAATTTGTTAAACGAATTTGATTCGACTAATTCATTAATTATCACTGACGCATCTCGTAAGTTGTTTTCAGTACATATCGGCTATAGTAAACAGTATATATTAGGTTATGCTCACTAGATATTATTATAACTAGCTTAATCAAATCTACACACATGACCTTATAAAGATAAATTACTAGAGGGACTATGATTTGCACGTGGAAGATAAGGTATTTCTGGAAGCTAACTGTTGGGTCTTAACCTGATTTTCAAGATTGAGATTGATACCTACCTACCACCCACAGACGCTTAAGGATCGGAGACGCTAACAGGTGCCTCCGAGGCCAACATCGAGATTCTTTCTGTGGGGCGTCGCGACGCAAGGACTATACAAATCGATCAGAGTGCCATATAGAAGCGCCAACTTGTACAGACGCAATATCTAGAGTCCCTTTTGTTCCTGGGTCGTACACGCACCCTAAGGGTTGCCGCCGTATTGTCGAGTAACGATTTATCCGAAGTCCTTCTTTCTTTCTCTGTCCTTCATCCTGCTCTTTGTCTCTCACGTTCTCCTTCGCCTCTTTGTCTTTGCCCCCCGCGTATCTTATTTTCCCTCGTTCTCTATGCCAAGCACGGCTCAATTAGGAAACCGATAAAGCATTATAGTTTATCGCTGTAACTCCTTACGTCAAGTTCTCTCCGTTCTTCCCTTTTAAGCTGGTCCTCTGATAACAACGAATTCTTGACAAAATTCAGAACTATTTTTTTTATATTATACAACTATATCTTCCGTCTATGCAAAATTCGTATATGATTTACCGCCGTGTAGTTTCCGAGATATGAATCATCTAAAAGCATTCATTTTCACTATATAGATATACACCGAATCTATAAAAGGGAAGAATTCAATAATTCAGTATCTTCATTTTCGTACTGTGTAACGTAATGATTTTTGGCTGAAACGTTGAGGTTATCTTATATTTTCTTACTCCCTGTTTAACCTGTGATTCCCTATTACTATTATGGTTATCATCATCGGACCACCTTTACCATTAATTCAAATTTCTCCAGTCTTAATCCTTTAAGATCTCTCCTGGGTCATCATACCGAGGATCAATGATCCATGATGTCATTTTTTATAACAGCTCTAACCCTTATTATAATACCCCATAGAAAGGCCTTCATTCCCATTCTACACATTCCTTTTCAACCCTTTTACATCTTATAGCCTCTGACCAATCTGCACCCTAAGTATCCTTTTATCTATCTAGTAGTCATGTAATAACGTAGACCAGTCTGTTTTCCTTTCCTGGATTAATATCCCCCAATATTTCCTAGCGACCGTAATTTGTCAGCGTGATAATCTTATTGGCACCGTAATTCTGGACGTCTGCTGGTTGAACAGTTGTAATGACTATACACTTTAACGTGCCACAGTGACGACATAACGTCCGTGAAGATGCCGTAACAATTCGACCAGGGAAGATTGTCCGAATCATCGTGCGGAATGATCGCCTGTCCCTGGAAGACGCCAATTATTTTGGAAAGGCCTCGCTGAAGTTTTTGGTTCGTGTCCGTACTATTTTTATGTACCCGTAATCAGAAGATTTCTACATTACCGACGCGCGTCTATTGTACTATTACCTTATGGTAGAAGTAAGTCATCGTTAAATCCGCTAGGTATACTGGTAGACGTGAACTATGATTTCTGCGGAGGACTGGATTGCACTGTCGTGATTTATTATTCCACGTTTCTTTGGGTC